TTATTCCAATTTTGATGGTAGAAAGTAGAAATTAATCACGGCACTCACTATTAAAAACATAAGTGTAACCCCCTTTATGACAGTATCAAAATACTTTGGGCTGCATGTATAGAGTAGTAAATTGAGATAAATTCATTAGATTATTGTGTGCATGTGTTTAAGTTATTCTTTGCTATGGAATAAATTACTTGTTTGTTAAATTATCTGAGGTTTGCTTGGCAGTTATAATTGTTGTTCTTTGTTTTTGTCCTCATGCCAAGTTAATGTGTCCCAAAACAAAAATCTTATTGCAATTATATCTTACAGACTTTGCATTAATCTTTTTGTATTCTAACCATGAAAACTCCTCTAAACAACTGTCAAATTAAATGAGGTTGAACCATCAAAGTAATGTATTATTCATTTTTTTGTTGTTTGTGAATAAATCAGATTATCCGACAACTGTTGCAGATCACAAAAACAACTATTTCATTGGCCAAATTTTTGTCGATCTTATTTCAAATTATCACAAAATCTAAATTGATTGGTTTGATGATTGTAGTGTTCCTAACAAATTTTTAATGAATATTCAAAAATCAATTTATTCAAGGATATCCAAAATAATATTCGAATATGGAGTTATAATTACAGTTATAAACCCTAGACGATTGTTATAAAATAAAAAAATCATGGTCATTAAAAATTTCAACTCTTGACAGTGTAAAATAGTAATTTTACATATCATAAATAAATCGGAAATGATTTACGAAAGTTGCAAATAAAATCGGAAAAACTGATCGAGTATTCAAACCAGTCCAATTTCATACTTATATCAAAACACCAATAAGACAATTAGCTCTCCAACGTAACAGAATATCAAATCTCATAATTATATTTAAACGAAAGAATTTTAATGACTTAACATGACTAGAAATGACATGAAAATAATTCTACACAGAAGGTTCAAGTAATACATTTAATTAGGATTTCAAAGAAATCGGAGAACTAGATGATAGAACCTTTAACATGTATAAATAACATTGCAATTTCCTTAACTTCAAAAAAATATAATGATCATCAATATCATAAAAATATCATCATAATAACTAACACTAAACCTTGTCCTTGCCCTTATTGTCTTCGAATATTATATTGTCGTAATGACAATAAATCTATCTCTAACGACGAATTTATACTAATCCCGTGCATAATTATTTTCTCTTATTTTATATTTGTCTCTATTATTTTTATTATTATTTATTCTTTTCTTTTCTTTTAGTAGGTAATATAATCAACCTTATTTAGTAGTTTTAGAGACGTACCTGACTTGGTATATGGCAAAGAGGAAAACGGCTAAGAGGGCACCCACCAAGAAACGTGATCAGGACACATAGTGTAAAATCTAAAGAAGATATTGTTTAGTATTTCTTAGTACAAGAAATTGTTTAATGATAGTAAAAGATAGTTTTGAGAGTAAAGCATAAATATACATTCGCGGAAATTGTTATTACGATTTAGTATAAATAAATGGGAAAATTGTATCGGCATGTCATCATAAATAAAAATCCAAGAGATTTGTGTGAGACGCGGAATTTTGATCTCACACTATCTATGAAGTTTGCAGGGCCCTATACTATCCTATAACATGTAGATTAACTAACTGGTGAACCCTGTTTGCTT